GTTGGCAAATTTTCTGTTGGTTCTACTTTAATTCTGCAGCACTGTTTATCTCTGCGACTGGACAACAACTGTGAAAGTCAATTTGTATTCGCCACGCACTTTTATTAGTTACTGTTCACTTATACCATCTATAAAATAGACACACTATAAAATTAAGGACTCTCCTTTTGTTTGCCTGAGGTATGCAGTTGAGCACTCAAGTCAAGTTCAAGTGCTTTGCATTTTGAATAGCCCAAATACATGATAATCACATACTTTGCTCGCAGTGAAATACACTCACACATTAACAGGTATTTATACTGAAGTGGCGAAACGACTCCCGACTGGCTAAAGAGAATGCACCTTTCCAAGGACATTCGCTTATATTGTACAAACGGCACTATTTTGTAGTTGCTTTTTGAACACAAACATAAAATGCGCTGCTTGGCACACTCTGCGCCGTATAATTTGAACCGACTGTTTGATGTTGTGGTGAAAGGCACTGACGTTCATTGAAGCCGAGCGCCGAAGTGTCCTTAACTCACCAGATCTTGCCAGCGGCCTTCTAGACACCGCCGTCAACCTTTCGAGTAAAGTGAAATAAAATTGTAAATAACGGTAGCTGACAGGCATTCAGAATGGTAATGGTGGCTGCGCGAAGAATTCCAAAAGGATGTGCACTTGTTACACTATATACACACATATACACATAATAAAATACCACAACTCAATATGTAATTGTGTCTAGTTAGGTAGCGGTTGTTTAAGTGGGATATTGCGAGGTAACGACAGGTAGACCTCTGCTAGTAGCAAACTACACTCGCACACAGACGACCCATATGCAGTTGCTACTGACACAGGGCTTTGAAGTGGTGGTGGCTTTCGGCGCGTATGGGTGTTACGGCAGCTAACTTAATTTCGCATTGCCATTGCAATTGCAAAATTATAGTTTTATTTTTTCTTGATAGTGCCACGCCTATCGATAGATTGACTTTTGCCTGTTACGGAGCCAAGTAGCGCGGCGCATGGCTTTTAATTAATTCAAATTGATAAACCCACACATTTGCTGACGGCAAAGAGGCGGCTGAAAATATTGATACACACTCCACCCATACATATGTAGATATTATGTGAGCAGCTCTTACTTGAAAGGCAAGCTAAAAATCTTCAGAGCTAAAGAGCCAAGAAAAGCAATCAAGTCATTTGCATATAATTTAATTATTTAAAAGGCAATTTTGAAGTTCTCAAAGTTGAAGTGATGGAGGTAAAGTAAGCGCCAAGAGACTGACGGTATATGTATACTTATGTCAATCTGTAAGGAAAGCATACACCCTATCGGACTTCCACAGATATGTCATGTCATATCAGTTCCGGTAATTTGGGTGATATGCGTGTAGCGATAATGTGATGCGTAGTTTTATGAAATATGGTTAAAAAAGTACCGATATTTATCCACAAAGCGTCTTGGACTGCCACAAATTTGTTCAGGCGGCTAATATCAATTCCAGACAATATGACTACCAAGATGCTCCAATCTTAGGCTAGCGAAAGAAAGTTGAGCAATAGATCTATGTGGCTTATCTCTGATGAGTTCAGGCTGTCCGATGCTTCATTGGAAGACCAACTATCTCTCCCTAAATACCTATAACACGTTAAATGCCTTTCTCTTCTAGGGCTTAAGTCGCTATCCCTTGAGCAACTAGTAATGTATGATACATATGTATATGTATATATAAATATATAATATATAAAGTGAACTTTTCTTTCTTTTATTATAAAGTTGTATACTAGAATCAAGCAAAAAAGTTGGTCAAAAAGCAGGAATAAAGAAAAAATACTACGGTCAACTGTTCTTACAGGGCGAATCCATATCTGCAAATGACTGCAATCACATAAATACATACATTCAAGGCAGACAAGAATACCTCGAACAAACATTTTTAGCAAACTTGATTGAAACTATATATGAAGTGCTTCATCTCGATTAATCAATTTTGAATTCTGTAGAAGAAGTTTCCACAAAAGTCTGCACCTGAATGTGTGGTCAGTATGTGTGTTTTTACGGCTAAACTTTTGACAACCCCTTTATACATCCCATACCCAGATAATTTCACCTGTCTACTATCGGCCTGTTGTTGTAATAGACCAAAATCTCTTGACTGCACTTGTTCAGATGACGACAAGTCAAGTACACCCACTTTGTCTCCAAAGTTCTTTGTCATTTAAATGCATTATTAATTCTAAGAAATTATGCGCCACTAGTAAAGGTATAAATACATAAACAATGAAAAAGTGTTGACTGACGGAATAACCAAAGCATCATTCAATATTAAGTGGTCTCGGTGACATACGAAAATAAAATAAAGCTTTTTCGACGAATGAAATTTTGCAAAATGTTAAGCGTTTTTAGTGGTATCACTACAAATAGCATAAGGGAGAACTTTACGTAAAAGTGGGTTGGATTTTCAACTCTCAGACGGTTTAATAAGTTGAGATAGCGCCGAAACCGAAAGCAGATTGTTTCGAAAACTCATTTGAAATTTTATGTCACTTTTAGAACAAACTCAACCTCGGAGTACATAGAACTTTTTTGAAGTTTATAATGTTAAAATTATTTTTTTGAGAATAAAATCTGTTTGTTTTAACTTGACTTCGAATAGATGAAAGAACAAAAACTATATTTAATGTTGATAACTAAACATATTGATGATTTTGGAATGTTATTTTTAAAAATGTGAGCTTCTGAAATTAAAAAGTTAACTACTTTTCCGAAAAAAACATTTTGTAATATTATTATGCCGCCGCACATATCGAGTACCTACTGTAAAAACAATTTTTCAAAAATATTATGAACAGTCTCCCTCACTTCCCTTCTTGTTTTCTCTTGCATATATATTTATGTAACTATCACTATTGTCTGGCAACCTTAACTGTCCATTTCGAGTGTTTGTGACTGTCTGCAATAATTTCGTATAATATTTTTTTGCACATAATAATAAAAAAAAGGCATAATAAAAGGTAGCGAAAACAAAAATCAGTTCGAAATTGAAGCAAATGAATTCACTGCACGCCAGACATTACAACGTCTACGACTATATGTAGTCATACAACTACAAGAGCACTAATCCAAACAACTATACGTTACAGCTAGCTACAATTTTTTTCGAGAAAAAAGAAAACAATTATGAACAGGTAAGGAAGGTCTAAGTGCGGGTGTAATCGAACATTTTATACTCTCGCAAGGTGAAGTGATATACGGAATTATCGTATATATTTAATTAAAAGTAGCAAGTATTGCATCCATTATTTACAAACACATGCAAGAAGATATTTTATTATTAGAAAGCGATTCTTTCTAAATTTTATCAAGATTTCTTACATATTTATCGATAGATGCGGTATGAAGTCAACCGAAAGTTCGAAAATATTTATATTAGAGTAGGCGTGGTTATTATCTGATTTTACCCATTTTCACAGTGTATGAAAAAAGCTGAAAAGACTTCCTATCAATCAAGTGTGATTGGATAACTGGACGGACAGACAGTAACCCGGATTTCTACTCATCATCCTGATCATTTGTTTATAAAAGTACATAGCTCCATATCTATCTCGATTATTTTTAGGTGATACAAACAACCGTTAGGTGATACAAACAACCGTTAGGTGAACAACACTATTATGCTCTGTGCAACATGTTGCGAGAGTATAAAAAAACGCAACTGCCTTCACCAACGGCTGTTGTCGCGTTATTTCAAGTACGAAATACGGCTGAATCATGGTGAATTCTAGGAAATTCATCTCCAGTCGGCAGTATTCAGCCCCAAACGCCGGTACCTTTTCACTACCCTTCTCCTCTTCTGCAGCGCCAGCCTTCACCATGGGCGGTTGCTTCGGCTGTGCGGATGTGTTTGGCTGCTTGTCTGCTGGTGAGTAGTTTGGTTCGCGGACTGGAGTCGGTGCGGCTGGTGCTACACGGCACCGACGCCTGTTGCCCATGCTCTTTTTGCATCATATTACGACTGTTACAAAGAGATTGCTCTCCGTTACCACACTGTTTGCTGTTATGGTTTATTAGTTTTTATTTTATTTTTGTGCTGCTGTAGTTGGGCCCGTTATGGTTTTAGTTTAGCCTTCTGTTGTTGTTGTTCTCAGATTTTCTGTTCATTCATACTGTCTGATCTGTGCTATTTGTCAGCGAGCGATGATGTAGCAAAAGAGTGTATAACATTTCATTGCCAGCTTATTGGGACGGGTTTGAGGCAGTTGCTCTTGAAGAGTTGGTTTGCAAATACTGTTCCAAACACATAAACACTTATGAAGTGATAGTAATGAAAATATGGAAATAGCGTACAGAAAATATCAACAAAACCATACAATTTCATGGCTTTAAGAAGTAGAAGGATTTACTCTTTCTTTCTCCTTAACGCCTTTTATACTCTTCATTAAAAAAACTGTCGCCTATGTTGTTGCGATTGCATGGACCCGTTGGTGATGGAATCGGCATATACTAAGCTAGATAAACTTTCGTTCAACATTTTTGCACTGCGGAATGCTACTCATAAGAAATATTTGGATCTGCGTAAGATTTCAAAAGTTGTCTTTTAAATTGTGTTAATTATACAGATAATTTTCAAAAATTAATGAGAGCCGCGCAAGGTAAGCAAACACTGCTCGGGCGCCAACATCAAACTATGCTCATTTAAATATTGAATACGCGCTCAAATATATGGACATACAAGTATGCATAAAAGAAAATGTTTACTCAGCAAATACCCTCCGCACAAAAAGCTGATTAAAAGCACACACATACATACAAATTTCGAATTTAAAGCGAGATTTGTCGAAATATTTACCCGTACAGGGAGTGTGATGACACACCATGCTATAGTATTCGAAGGTGGCTGGGAGCAATTGCTCCAACCCACAAAGTTTTTGGAAACTTTTCCGACGCTTTTTACATACATACTTTCAACTATTTAAATATTTATTACTGATTATACATTTTTTCTTTCTTATTATAGCGCAATGATGAAATGTTGAAGCTCGCGAAGTGAGCAGCGGAAAAAAATTAGGTAAATGTGAAAAGAGAGTATATATACTTATATGTATAATATATGTGCGTATATATGTATGTATGTAGCTAGTAACGGTGGTTAACAAAGTATATGCACGTAAGAACACGCTGACGATGAAATGTGGCTCAGTGCAATTGTTGTTGTCGAAAAGTGCAGCCTTTGCTGCAAATAGGCGCTGCGATAGTCAACGAACCAGCGGTGTACATACATACATACCATGTGTACGTGTGTTTGCGGTTGGCTTTTGCTGCTTATATGATGAATGATGCCTGGTTTGTTGGTTGCTGGCTCGGAAGCTGCTTTAGTGGTCTAGTGGTGGGAGCGGGGGAGTGGCATCCACGCCGCTGGTTATACGCTGCGCTTTGAGAGTAAACAAATGCAGATAAGTAAGGTAAATGGCGGAAGGCGGGCAAAGCAAGAGCAGACAAAGTGGTAACTGAGTAAGTATAGGCAGTTTCTACCGAAACTTATATCAGTTGGCAGTCAGGAGGGAATATTTGTCTAACGAAACAATAGTTTTACAAAATAAAAATATTATTAATGCAAGAAATAGTATCTAAATATATAGAACTTGAATTATTCGTTAAAAAATTAATGTGCAAAGTAAAGTTATTGAATTGAGACGTTTTTACACAAAACTAAATTATGGAATCTTTAAAGCAATAAATGAAATTTAATTTTTAAGAAAATAATTTTATTCTTCAAATGTTGCGTTAGAAAGCTCAAAAATAGTTTCCATGACGAGGAAAGTTATTTTTAAATTTTTAAACAAAAAATGCATTGACTAAAAAATCACAATTAAAATTAAATATATTTTCTACTGGGAACATTACTGCTTACATTCGTTTGTACTCGCATAATGCCTTCTTTTGTACCCGTTATGCCCTTTTGATGCATTATCATCATAGAGTAGAGGTCGAGGTTAAATTTTCATTCAAATGAACTTTTATCACTCGTTTGCATCCATGTGAGGAACTCTAGACTTTGGTTAATTAAGTGTCAGTTATAAAGGAAAGGAAGCAATGGTGCAACTACAAACACACAAATGTATATGTAAAGAAATTAAACTAATCAAAGCACATATGTACATATGTATACAAAAAGATAAAAATGTAGAAAAATGTATACAAAAGCAAATAGGCATGATTAGGTCACTTTGGCAAGTGAGTAATATCAAAAACATTTTAGGAATGATATAAGTAATTTAGCACCGTAAACCAACACAGATTGCACTAACTTCCTATATATTCCGTATGTATCACATGTAAGCATGTATATTAAAGAAATAAAATAAAAATAAATACATATATGTACATATGTATATAAACTCAATAATGTTTTTACTTTATTTTTTTGTGGCACTCACCAATAATAAAATGAACACAGACACACCGCTTGCCGCTATTCAAATCAGAAATGGAGTGTTATATATATTCCCAATGTTTTACAGCAATATTTATTTATTTGTTATCCAAAAGCGTGAAATTGATTGTTTCTTAAATTTACTCGTTTTTGCTTTTAACTTTTCTTTACATATCCTTGAAAACAAACAATAAATTTCAATATTTTATGTATGTATAAGCAACGCTACTGCTCTGAAATATGTACATATGTGTAAACAAACATTCACACGCACACAGAAAACACACATGCCTTCATACACACATACACAAACGAGCAGACGCGTTTTTGCGGTTTTGGAAACTTGCGAATTCAGTACGGTGCAACGGAAGTAGGCGGATATGCGGGGGTTAATGTCAAAGGACAACAAAGCGACACGCGTTATGATGCACGGAGGGCGTTTACAGGCGTTTTACTACGTGGGCAGACGCGAAGCCACCTCCGGTTAGTGATTCTTACTAATTTTGTTTTCGCGATTACAAAATCGATCTTTTTTGGGAAACGTAAATATTTGTTGAGTTTTCACAATAAAAATTTGTTATTTTACTAATTTTTTTTTATAACTTTGTTTGATGTAAACACCGTAAAATCACTGCACTTAACTTTGGCTGTTCGAAGCCGTTGTATTTTTATTTGCTATTGCAAACTTTTAATGTTTTTGTTGTATTTTTTAGATTCGTTGCGAACGTTTACATGCGAACCCACACACGCGCACACATTTCAGCGAAATACCATCCTGTCATCTTGCTCGCGCAAGGACAAATGCTTCGTGGATTGAATTATTTCCAAGCTGTAAACACACTCGCAAGCGTACTTTTGTTTACATACACACTTATGCATGTACATACATACATATGTATGTTATATCAGTTTGTAGATGTGTGTATAGCATTACACGGTTTCCGATTGTGCCGGGCACTGTTTACAGGGCGTCAGGCGTCGAACGAAACGCCAAACGAAGTAGGGTAAATTAGGAGTTAGCCAACGAAGCTGACAGTAAAGCGGATGACGCAAACGACATAAAGGTGGTGGAAGTAAAAAGAGCAAAAATTGCATTTACGTCTGCACTTGAATTTTTTCTGTGATATTTTTGTGGTCTTCACTGCTTGCTTTGTTGTTGTGTTAGCGAACGCTTTATTTGTTGTATGTATGCACTGCGCTGTTTTAGACACGCAGCCCAGTCAGTCGGAAAAGAAACAAATAAATTCATTGAAAAACACACCACTTTTATTTCAATTACACACAAATTCACATGCACTTTATTTACTGTTACTTTTAATAAATTTTATGCAGTATTGCTAACTGAATTATCACTGAACACAGCTAATTTGCTTCAGCAACGCGCTCGACCATTTTCTACATGACTTTTTCGTGCCTCGTTCATTCACTCACTCGCAGACTACGCAAACGCTGCAGTTAATCGAACTCTAGCAAATGCAAATGGGCAGCCTCTGACTTTGACGTTAGCGTCGCTGCTGTCGCTTGGCAGTCGCTTGCTAGGCGATGCACAGGCGTGCGACAGAGACAACTAGCGCGGATCGGTTGTTGGCATTCAGTGCTAGTTTTTGACATTTGCCGTTTGTTTATTGTGAATGCTGGGGGCTTTCTCAGCTGTTCGCAATGGCTGTGGGTGTGTATGTGTGCTCAAGTAGATGACTGTGTTTGTGTGATTCGACAGAGTGCGCAAAAGACGCCGTCGTATCCGCCGTCGTATCTGTGAGATAAAAATGTGCATTTAGGCATGAGATGCAATCCGCGAGTTGCTGTTTACTGTTTCACGCCCTCAAAGTAATGAATATTTCACAGACTAACTGGGTTTTAATTTTACCTAAAACACACACAAATTAAACAAGTCCATTATATTTTGATTTTTGAGACAACAATGCACTGACACTCGCCGGCGACTTGCTGCTCTCACTTCTACGACCGTTATGTTTCTGTTTCTGTTTCAATGCAATGTCCAATTGCCCACTGTGCTGGGGGTATCTATCTGAATAAGTGTGTGAACATTTTGTTCAGTTATTCTTAATGCCGTGCGAGAGAAAGACAACATGTGCATAGCTCATTCAATGTTTTATAAGTTCACCATGGGAAATTGTTAGAAGTGTTTCGAGGGTTTGCGAAATGGTTAATACTAAATAATTTGTGGGTTTACGAAAATGGTTTAAGTTTCTCTCCACAGCTTTAATTTCCTTAGGTTGTGCAGCCACTGGAGAGTGTAGATTGAGCAAGAGAAGAGTCTCTGATGTTGTGCATTTCGCCGGTTGTGTGGTTGGCTAAGATAGTCAATGCAAATATTATAAACTAGGATAAATTATGAAAACGTAGAATCAGAAGTTAAAAAATCGTTTTCTGCTGAAACATCGAAATAGCAAGGCGAAATACTATTGTAGTTTCCCTAGCTAAAATGCTCTAGTTCTAGAATGAATTCACCTGATCAATGAATTCACCTGTGCCAATAGGGACGAGGGTGACTGACAGGGGCATTATGAAATTAACATCGTTATGCTAAATAAAACCCTCAACTTAATGCACAAGTATTGGATTTCATTTTACTATATACTTGAAACACTATTTTGAATTTTTAAATAGGTTATATTTAAATGCCTTCAAAAATGATTTTCATGGAATTCTTCGAACTTTATCTGTCGTTTGTACGCGATATAATAATTGATTCTGAGGTGGTTTGTGTAGTGCAAAATACCTGTTTTTTTGGAAACGATTAGTGAGAGATTGCTTAACTCAAAAAAAAAATCTCTTGAAAGCATTTCAACTGTCAAACAAGATTTTGGTGTGAGCTCTCCACTTTTGCAACACTTACTATATTTGAAATTTTCAATTTTTAACCAGCTGCGCTGCTTTTAAACTTACTAAAATTTTTCGTTATTTGACGAGTAATTTTTGTCGCTTGCTTAGAAGAATTACTTTATGGTTAAGGCATTGCGAAAATACGCGATTGTGTCAATGAACGAAACCAAAGAAGGAAGTGGCTAGTAATTTTTGCAAAGTCGCAATGATGTATCGTTTACTTCGTTTATATAGCCTACGGACGTACTGGCTACTTCTAATTATTGCCTTTCAATAAGAAAGCTCATTTACTGTAATGTCAATATAATTATGTATTAATGTAGTTTATATATGTATGTACTTATATAATGTTGTAAAAAGTATAAGTAATCACGCAATATACCGTTCGAAAGTTTTTCAGGTCGCGCTGATAACCTCAACTCTCGCTTTCATATTCCAATTCCAATGGCCAAACCCTGCCTCAGCAACGGCTGTTTTAACATTATTTTTCATAATTTTCATCCGTGAATGTTAACGAAGTCGCTTAATGACGGATAGGAGCCACAGCTAATTCGCAAATAACACGTTAGCCAAAGATTTTTATCACATGTAATATATCATTCTTCGTAATAAACCAAACGTAAACGGAAAATACCGTTACATGCACAGGCACACAGAGAGAAAAAACTAAATACAAGTTAAAAAGGTGAGAAAAGGATTACATATTTATTTAATACTTTGCCAAAAATGTGGTTATGTGGAAGAATGTAGATCAACCTTTCAACTCTGATGTATATGCAATGATAAACATACATTTACGGTGCATGCTATGTAGCTGTGTTAGTTGGCCGTTTTGCTGTGGAGGGTTCTCTAATGGCGCTTGGACACGCAACCAGCTGGACGAAGAAAGTTTCAACGGCAGCAGCGGAGGTTATCACAGGTTAAGCGACACAGCTGACTGACCAAACAAGTCAGAAACACTGTCCGATGAGTGGAGCACCACACTACTTGCAAAAAGTGGCTCCAACTCCGATAGGTTTGGGTTTAAAAAATGATATAATAATATGGAAGTATTACTTTATTTACCCGGAGGAGTTCTGGGCTGTAAAGGAATTTGACAAGGGGTAGATGGTGTTGCGTCAACGGCGATAAAACAATTCAGAAAAGACTGGGTGTTGAGAGCTTGACGTCTTAGTTAACAGTTTCTACAAATTCGTAAATTCGATGCAAATATGTAAGCTAGAATCTGTGAATGGGTGTGACGGACCAAATATTGTAAATAACAAATATACAAACTCCATATGATTTACATGGTATAAGCAGGAATACACATATATCATACATATATACAACACATAAATAAGTAGGTGTGTGTGTGTGTGAAGTTTTTCTCTAATTTCAAAATTATGCCTTTGTGGGTTGAAGTGTTTGTCAACGGGATTGCCATTCATGACACAGAGCACAGACATGTAGACCCCACGATGAGCTGCACACTAGAGATTCTCAACTCTTATTTTGTTGTTTCGGGGCAGTGTATTTTATAATCTAATTAGATTCACCCATAATTGAAAGTAGTTTTCAAGTCGTACATACATACATTTAAGATACACATACATATATTTAATTGTAATTGCCTTTCCATAAGAATATAACAAATAAATACGTGGTTGCCCTTTATATTTTGGGATATGACAACCCTGTTGTTGCAACCTTGTAATTCACTACTTTTACTCGTAAATTTTGATAATTTTGATCTTATACCTACTCAGAACATTTTGACATACGAGCGCTATAGGTGTGGATTACAGTAACTTAAAATATTCATCTCAACCAAAAAATGGAAGTAAATCTCGAACATTTTTGTAGTAATACTTTTACAACGTTCGACAATGCATCCATGAACTTTATTAAACTTTTGGCGATTAAGTTCCATCAAGGACCAGTGTCTGTCGATGATATGTTGAATTCAATAGAGGTCGTAGATCACTCCAAGATGAATTTCGTGAATATCGTCCAAAATCAGTTGTTGTTGCGGAAACTAATATTGCTGTGCGCAAGCTGATATTACAAAACTATCGTGAGATTAAGACAACTAGGCATTACAGGGAATGTATGTTGGATACATTCAATACTGCATGAACATTTGATTGAAGATTTTTTTTTCATGTCTCACATAATTTGTCAATCGCTCAAAAAGAGGTTAGTGTCGATTGGTCTAGAGAAATCTTAAAAAAGTACGACAGCGGTGCTTCGAAACACGTCTATGACATCGTGATAGGTGATGAATCGTGGATTTGCGCGTATGAGCCCGAAGGTAAACAGCAGTCGACTATACGTGTGCTTCCAGGTAAGCCGCATCCAAAAAAAGTTGTTCGCGCACCAAGCACATCCATACAAATGGTTGCTTGTTTTTTGGAAAAACTGAACATCTCACAATAATACCAATGGAACAACGCAGAACCGGAAACTCTGACTGGCACATAACAATTTGTTTGCCAGTTTTTTTTCAAGAAATCGGGAAAACCAACCGCCCAACCGAAGACGGATTACTCTTGACCACGATAATGCGAGCTCTCACAGATTTACTGAAACAACTGCATATTTAAGCACTCAAAATATCGATCTGATGAGTTATCCATCATATAGTCTTGACTTGGCACCGAATTTATTTCCGTACATAAAAAATAAACTAAAAGGTCAACGTTTTTTGAAACATGAATAGGCGGTTGAAGTGTTCAGAATGCATGTTTTGGTGATATCTCCATCAGAGTGGCAAACGTGTTTCGACAATTGCTTAAAACGCTTGCAAAAGTATATATTTCTTAATGGAGAATATTATGAAATACAATAAATCGATTTTCGATGATAAATATTTGTTGTTTTGACCCGAAATATAAAGAGCAACCCTCGTACTAGTTGCTTTATAACAGACTACATTATTATTCAGACACTGCTATTACGTATTAACAATAGTTCGATTAGATTAGTTAGGGCTGGACTACAGTTTACCAAAATATACATTACGAGTAGATATCGGCTAGCCCAGGTAACAAACACTTATTATAGTATGCTGTAATGTCAAAGAAATTGAAACTGATCTTGAGCAGTTGCTTAAACTGTATTATTTGCGAATTTTGGTGTTCGAAAACGTGGAATATCTGATTAAAAATTATAGTATGCTACTAATTTTTGTAATATATTTATATCAATACAGACGTACATACAAGTGTTCGTATGCTTTCCATTAAAGGAAACTACGAAAACTCTGCGTGGGGCTCTCATCGGTTTCATAATTTTATGGAAACCATTACTTACTATTGTACATCAATTTCACAAAGACACCGAGAACATGTAATTTTGAAAATAAGTAAAATTTTAATTCTTGTAAGCTCAGTTGTCGAGTGAACGCTTATGTGACTGCCATTTCAATGAACCCCATAAGCGACCATCAAACAACAGTAATATCTCGTACATTTCACATTTGATAACAAATATGGTATGTGTATAACTGTAAAGTACTGCAAGGCGCCTACGGCAATTACCCTTTATCCACAGAGCCAGCGTGAGTACACATTGCAAGAAGTTTTCAGCACGATACGACTGCTTCCGATCGAGTGCAAGCAAAGCTAGTTATTTTTTGTGCAATTTAACCAAGCATTTTATGATATGTAAAGCATTATCCCTATTTGCAATCTAACGCTGCCGCAATGCGAATGACATACACGAACACATACAAACAAGTATGTACATCTGAAGATAAGAATGTGTTTATAGATAATGCATGTAATAGTTTGTATTTGTGTTTTTGAGTGAGTGTGAGCGTGTGAAAGAATGCTTCGTAAGAAAGTACCACTATTGCCATATGAAGAAAACCTTGCCCCCAGGAATTCCCCTCTTTACATTGCTCTGCTCAAGCCGGTGTTCTCCCTGCTGGCATTTTCATTAAATAAATGAATGGGTGCGCAATTTTTTTCCAAACTTCGAGCTCGCAAACGCACACACGCGTTGCTGCTGTTGGTTTTGCCAGCGCTTAAACGAAGGTTGGCAACAGTTTTCACCAACAGCACCGGGAAACCCTCTAGCCTAGAATCATTGCTATATATGAATGAAGGTAAATGTGTAGTTTGTTTGCGGATGCGACGACTTGTTATCTTCGGCACGCTCACGCTTCGGCATTGTGTGGAAGGGCTTTGGAATGCTGCTCATAATTCGTATCTGAAA